CCCAAACCATTCTATGATTCTATGAAAGTCGAGCTTTCCTCATTTTTGCATTACTTGTCCAATTCACGTATCATAAAAATAATGGCACATACCTGGTTGAGGCATTATTAATATTTTATCCTAGAAGATGCAAGCCTAAAACTAATCTAATTCACAAATGGGAGTAAGTATTTTTCAGTGCAAGGATTGATAGACGTGCCGGTCAGTAATTTGGCATAGTTGTTGTCTTTCAGAAGGGACATCGTATATAGGTGCAATAAGTTTAGCGTGCATGATGGAGTTATATAGGCAAGGTTTGCACAGCCCCTGCACGTATGGAACCTGCCTGTGTTAAACACGTGCTACATTGGTGACTGCCAATTCACTTGACCCCCAACAGAAATAAATTACAATAATGAACCTACATTTGTTCTAAATTTGTCTGTGATTTTGTGATGATCTGGCATGAATAATGCTTGTGTGTGTTGAAACAGTACCATTAAAGGTTGCAGTCATTTCCACATTATAATAAACCATGCTATGTTCATCATATGTTGCATCCTATCATTCTTCTGTCCTTTGCGTTTTAGGATAGCAGTGTTTTCTGTGACCGTTTTGCATGATGATCGAATAGTGCTTGTGGCAGAGCAGCGCCCTGATGCATCAGAGGAGGATAGTTTTCAGTGGATGAGCAGGGTTCTACAGGTAGTCAGTCTGTACTTTCTCTCTTTCCAGGTGAATAAGGCTGATGTATGAAATGAGAATCTTAGAGCATCTTTTTTTCCATAAGAAAAACCTATCTGTAACCACAGAGAGTTGTAATAAGCTGACTTCTGAATCTGTTTTAGGGTTGATAGTTAACAGAATTTTGTAAGAAGTAAGACTTTCTTTCAAAATGTTTTTTAACTTCACACTACTAGGATTCTTAAAGTCCTATGGATGATAGTTTTTGTTTGTTTTAATTCTACATATCTCTGCTGATTTCGTACTGGATGGGAGATTAAGTCTGAAAATGTTTAAGGGTATACTTAGTGCCAAGTATCAAAACAGACCCTGAAATCTTTTTATGTCACCAACATCCTTATTCTAGATCTCCAACAGCAAGCATTAAAAACTTTTTCCCTTGATTACTTTATTGTGTTTTTGTGGGGGAGCAGGAGGGAGGGGAATTCTGATACATTTGCATTTGAGGATTTCAGAATTCACCCATCAGTTCTAAGGAAGTAAAAAGTGAGAGAGCAATTACAGAAGACGACTCTGGTGAAGGGACAACTGAAGAGAAGGCTAGAAAGAACAACTTAAGGGAAGATGTTTAAGAGTGCTTAACAGTTTTTAAGAGTAAGGTAGTTGTGTAATAATGGTTTCTGTCTAATTTCAGCTTTGTAATCTTTTTGGAGGGAATATCTGGTAATAGGCTGTTTTTCATGGGAGAAAATGTTTTTATTTCTCTTTTTAGAAGTGTCATAGCTAAAATAGACACTTAAGTTTTAGGCAGCAAGATGTTTCCCTCCATATTTTTGTGGTTTTCTGTTCTACCGCGCTTTTGTGATTGTGCCATATGTGCTAAATTTGCTGTGGTATAATTTTGGCTTTTTAAAATCTCTGCACTTTTTGCCCACTTTTAAGAGGCTTTCCTAATCCCTGATGTGCAGGTGGCATCCCCTTGATAGAGTGCACAAGCAAAGTCTGGGTCTGCTCCTGCTCCCACTGAAGTCATGGCACAACTTCTATGAGTTCAGTGAGTGCAGAATTGGACCCTTTATTTGCAAATTGTGGTGGAAGTAAAAGTTTTATTAAAATTTTATTAAAAATGTTATTAAATGACTTGAATTCAAATTCTTCCTCTTGCTACATCCCAGTTGATAATGTGGAATGTATTTTTTTTTCCTTTCTCTTAAGGCAATTGATAGCATTCACCAAGTGGGCGTCTACTGTCTTGCCTTGGTGCCAGCCAACACTTTGCCAAAGGCTCCTCTCGGAGGAATTCATATTTCAGAAACCAAGCAGCGCTTTTTAGAGGGTGCTCTGCACCCTTGTAATGTCTTGATGTGTCCACATACTTGTGTTACTAATCTGCCTAAGCCTCGACAGAAACAACCAGGTGAGTACAGAGCATGTTCTTTAGTTCTGCTTGTATGTCTCTGAGGGTATGTGTGGAGTATGATCCAGAGGCAAAGTGACAGCTCAGGGCTGTGCATGTTGAATGGCTTTAAGCTGCCTGACTTGACACAGCTAGTGGTGTTGTCAGAGCAGCCCAGAACTCAGTGAGGACATTGTGGTCTGCCTCGAATCCCAGGTAAATGCAAGGACGTACAGCACGTACCCATTTCATGCTTCTGTAGCTACATTATAAATTTTTCCTGTACTGGCCATCTCGCAAAGGCCAGTAACTCACGTAATAAAACTGAAGTACAGACAGAATAAGTAATAGACTGATTTTTCACATACCATACTGATAATGGACTGATTTTTAGTGTACCATACTATCCTCTTCTCTTTTTTCCTATGCAATATCATCCTTGGTTTTAGCTTTTCATGTTTTCAGATCTATGTTACATGTGGCATTTATAGTAATCTGCAGGCTGAATTGTAGACTATTACTTGTTCCTTACCTTATTTTTCCTCATTTTGCACTGTTTTTTCAAAATGCAGATGTTGGTCCTGCTTCAATGATAGTAGGAAACCTTGTTGCTGGCAAGAGAATTGCACAAGCCTCAGGGAGAGATGTTACCCAGCTGGAGGATAACGACCAGGCAAGAAAGGTAACACTGGTTACCAGGATGTCCTGGTATTATTAAATATTTGAATTGCCTTATTCAAAATGAGAGAAGACCAGTTATGGTATTGCGCTGAAACTAAGCATGGTGCATTTTAAGTGAACCTGAGTGTCTCCTTTTTTTCCTGTTTCAGTTCCTGTATTTAGCAGATGTTCTTCAGTGGCGAGCTCAGACAACTCCAGATCATCCCCTCTTCCTTTTGTTGAATTCCAAGGTGAGATGCGCTTTAGGTCATACTTGGAGATTGAGATCAGTAAAAGATTGTTTGGCTTCTAAGAAAATTCCAGGTAGAAGACTTTTCCTAAAATGCTTCAGGTTATGTTGATGATGTGGGATGTCATGGTTTTGAAGCAGACAAAAATTGCTAGTTAGCAAGCAGCATAATTTTTCCACATCTGGAATTTTATTCCACATATTTTATTCCACATCTGGAATTTCAGTATGCATTCTGCCTAGCTTAAAACATTGCAGTAATTGCATTTCCTGCTGGAACACAACTTTTCTCATATTAATGGAAGCCACAATTCTGTCTTCCTCCCTGAGCACGAGGGTAACTGGAAGTCAGAGCTGGAGGATTTTTTAATTAGAAGATCTAGAGCCTAAGTAGAGAACCCTTGGGACAGCTTTGGAGTCATATTTTCCAGGAGCACTGCACACCCTTCAGGAGACACTGGTGCCTTGTCCTTAGCTAGGCTCTGCCCCTAAAAAGGATGGCACTTACAGTCACTCAAACATGAACAAGTAAATGCTTCAGGTTTGGAGTACAGGATCTACATACTTACAGGCTCTATATACTTATTTTATTCAAGAGCTGTCTGAGCCCTTATGACAAGGCAACAGTCATATTTCTCAGTAAATACATCATTTTTGCTCATAGCCACTCTGCTCTGCATGTGACTGTCAGTAGTTTTGGAGCATTCACATCCCCTATGCATCCAACACTTCGTAAAGGGGTGTGAAAAAACGTGCACTTTTGTATGTTCCTCAGTATTTCAGCCTCCCTGGGCTTGAGGGGCACTACTGCTGTGCATATTTCGGAAAACTCTAATATTTTAGATTCTTCTATTGCTGCTCTGGCACTTTTTTATTCCCCTCCTTTCTTTCCAGGAGGCAAAGTTGGTCAATTTTTGTTTGAGCCTGTACTCAGTAGCTACCCTTCCAGTGACAGTAACAGCCCAGCGACAAACTGGGTCTACCTTGTGCTGCGCTGTACCATAGGCATGTGAGATAGGGAGCGTGCTTTCCGAAGGTCCAGCAGGAGTCCTTGGGAAGTGGTGGATTTGCCTTTGGGTCTCTCATTCAGACAGGCAGAATGGTTCAGGACATTGTTCAAAGTTCTGACTTTTCTCATGAGACTCTGCTTTAGCAGAAGAAACTGCTTCAATATGGTTATTGTTAAAAGCCACAGAATTGGTTTATTCCTCTCTCAGAGTGACGAAGCTTTTGAGGGAAGTTTTCTAGTATGAAGAGACCTCTTTCTGGGTCACTTTGGAGATGCTGCAAAAAGGAAACGCAAAACTTAGACACAAAGAAATTATCTGTTGGTGAACACATGCCTTAAATAGCTGGGACTAATAAGCTACAATTCTAAACATTAGAGTGTTCACAGCTCTCTGTGAGAAACCCTTTTCTCTTACACTTTTTCATGTCAATATTTTTCTCAAGTCCTTGAGCTATTACTGTTCCTATATCAACAATACACTATTTACTGTTCTTATTTTGCATTACTTCAGCTCCCAGGCTTTGACAACACTTTCCTTAGTAAAACTGAGCGGAGTGCCAGTGCCATCCTGCATCAAACTAGGCCTTGGATCAGACAGCTGTGCACTTGGGCTGAGGATTACATGTGGCAGCTCATCTTGGACTTGAAACTGAATACTTGTGTAGCAGACATTTGCTGTAATAATCCTTATCTGTATAGTGAGAACTTTTCATTCAGTCTCTGATTGATTGTTTTCCTCTGAGATGGTTGTCCCACCGGTTTTTCTTGAGTCAGGTTGTAGTCTTGGAAAAATGGATAAATCCCAACCTTACGGGCTTAAGGCTAAGGCATTGCTGCTTAGGCTGGATAGCAAAAGGATGTTTTCTGTTTTCACATCAAAAACTGGACTAAGCCTTTTGGAATCCCCATGACTTTGCAACTGCCTAAGCAATCCAAAGATATAGCTGCCTCCACGTGAAGACTTTCCAGATGCATAGTTGTGGGAAATACACTTTCTACAAGATGGACAGTAGATGCACTGAAGCAGAAGTAACAGTGCATACCAACCACAGCTCAGGTTGCCTCTATGACCCTTTAAAAGAGTATTGCCAGAGTTCCCTTTGTGCTTTTAAGACTGCTGATTGCAAAATCTAGAGGTTTGGCTGTGCACAGCAGGGTAAAGCTGGTACAGTGCTTCACTTGCTGCTAAAACAATTGTTACTACTACTACTACTGTGTTTTCTCCCTTAGACTGTGAAATTTTGAGTATTTGTAAGGTATTCTTTTTGTGGTACCAAATACATTTAGAAGCTGCTTCACTGTCTGATGTTCAAAATAATACATATAAAGTTCTCTAGCATTCTAGTTCATGGTACCAGCAGCATGGTTTCCAAAACATCGAGACAGAGCCTTTAAAAGTGCTTGTTGTATTGTTAAAATAAGGACAATGAAATATTGCATCTGCAGCATGTACTTTATTCAAACTGTTCTCCACAAAGTTTTTTGATGTTGCTTCTGTTTTGTGCAGGGTACTGTAGTTAGCACTGCATCATGCATACAGTTGCACAAGAGAGCAGAGAGAGTGGCAGTGGCACTGATGGAGAAAGGACGGCTGAATGTTGGTGACCATGTGGCCCTGGTTTATCCTCCAGGTAAGGCAGTACAGACAGCAAAAATCAAAGTCAGACATCACAAGAAAAGAAACAACTCTTGCCAAGATAGAGCATTCAAACATCTATTTAATACAGTGGTATATGGCAGTGATGTAGTATTTCAAGGAAGAGACTTCTTTTTTGTCATTTTATTATTAAGTTGCTTCTCCAAGTGGCAAACTACATTTACCAAACATTTCGTCTAACTGCTCCAGATGTCTGGGCAGTTATGCAAGAGTAGTTTGATTTAAACCACATGAAAGATTCTCGTTTTTCAGAGAATGGAATAAAACTGCATATGTATCTGTTGAAAGCTAGATTAGAGATGTCAGTGTATGAACACCCTTTCCTGAATGGCTGTCTCTAGCAGTGGTCTGGACCCCAGACTTGCATTACTAGTGTGTATTTACAAGTATACCTCAGGAAAAAAGTATTACCTCGTAAAAGTAGGACTGCATATTTCAGAGTGATAATTGGGAAAAACAAATGTATGCTTTTTTAAAAGAATCTGAGTCGTCATCTTCATAACCTACAATACCTTGTTTTGTTATTTTTGTTATTTTATACTAGCTGTCCATGCAAATATATCCCTACAAAGTTAAAGTTTGTAGGGTTTGAATAATTTTTGCTAACTCTCAAATACATAATATTTTAACCTTATAGAATTGGGTATGGCCAAGAACAGCCTGTTGATTTGAAGAGACCTTTGTGACAAATCCTTACATCTTAATAAAATAAATCAATGTGTATTTTGATTTTGGCGAAAGAGTTTGGCCTTCTGTTCTGATAAAAATGGCTTTAATTTCACAAATATCCTTTACAGGAGTAGACTTGATAGCAACTTTCTATGGCTGCTTATATGCTGGCTGTATACCTATCACCGTTCGCCCACCTCATCCACAGAATCTTGCTACCACTCTGCCCACTGTCAAAATGATTGTAGAGGTATGTATAAGACATTCCTCTCCTAATGCTTTTGGTGGGTGTAGGATGGTTGATGCAGCCTGATAAATTGCTTTGCCACAGTCAGTGTAAAATAAGCTAGGAAAAAAAATAATCAGCATGCTGTGGCTGAATCAATAAATACTTTTTCAGAAACTCGTTTAAAATGTTCTTTCTATTGCTGTAATTTATTTTGCTTTGTTTCCAATGTTTTTCTTCATCTATTCAGCTTACTGGTTATCTCATCTGGATGGATATGAAATCACTTAAGCATTCATTCACTAGTTTTCTAAATGTTTTTAATGCTGTGTCTTTTATAGGTCAGTAAGTCTGCATGTATACTGACCACGCAAACGATAATGAAACTGCTGAAGTCCAAGGAAGCTGCAACAGCTGTAGATATTAAAACATGGCCCACTATTTTGGATACAGGTACAGAATGTTTGCCCGCTAGCCAAAATGTAAATAGTTTGAAGACTGATTTATTTATTTTGTTATACCATAACTGACTAATTGAATGGATGTGTCTTGCATTGCGTCAAAATAGCTGTCCAGAAACTATAGAAAGCATCTGGTGTTAAAGCTGTAAAGGTACATTTTTGTCCTGTGCTCTTTTTCCAAAATAATAATATGGTACTCTTCTCTTTTTATATGTTTTAAATAGATGATATGCCTAAAAAGAAGCTGGCTAGTATTTTCAGACCTACATCTCCAGATATGTTGGCATACTTGGACTTCAGTGTGTCTACTACTGGTATATTAGCAGGAGTAAAGGTAGAGTAACAAGAGAGAGATTATTATACTTTGTTTCCTTATAGATAGGCATATTCTGCATTCATTCCTCCTGCCAGAGAAGAAATACAAAAATGTAAGTGGACCATCTTAGTGTTCAGAAAGCTTATTTTTAAATTTGCATGAAATCAAAATGTCTCGATGCACTTTTTGGAAGCATTCGGTCTTACTGGCTCTATGTGAGGAGTCACTGAGGGGACTAAATGGAGAGTGTTTGTCGTAAAGTTCATTAATGTATTCTTTTGCAATTTATCATAGAGATGTCAGATGTCATTTGGCATCATTCAATGTCATGACAGATGTCATTTGCCACTAGCATGAAAAGTATCTGTGAAATTTTGGGCTCGTATCGCTTTCCTGTTTTAAAGGTGGTTTAAAAAACCCAAACTACTACGCGTTGCCACGCCTCTTACAATAAACATTTGTATCAGCTCTTACATGTGATACCCTTTTTTTTTTTAAAAAGTCCCTGAGAGCATCTGTTTTCCTCTTACAGATGTCACATGCAGCTACAAGTGCCTTATGTCGCTCTATAAAGCTACAGTGTGAGCTGTACCCTTCACGTCAGATTGCCATCTGCCTTGACCCTTATTGTGGCTTGGGATTTGCACTGTGGTGCTTGTGCAGGTATGTCGTTTGAGTCGTAGGTTTTCTCATGTGTTCCCAGCCTTCTCTAGAATCCAAGGGAACAGCAGTGGATGAAACTGTCAGAGAAACCCAAATTAACCTTTTTAAAGGTATTTCATAAAATAACTTTTGTGGTAACAAAATTCATTTAAGTAAGTTAGTTACTTGAGAAACTTGGGTTTTGCAAGTGGAATTAATTAGATACCAAATCCAAGAAAAAAAGGACTTCACTGTCTATTTCACATTGCTTAAATAAATCCTTTTAAAGTCTTCTGAGATTAAACCATATCTTTTTACAAGACCCTTAAGGTGTGGACTGCAAGATTGGTATGCACTAAGAAATACTGCTAAAGGAAGCAATTAAATGTTTCTTAAAATGAATGAGACCTGAATTGATTAAATCAGATAACTACAATAATGCAGGCACATCTTGCAAAGCTCTTTTTTGCCATTTAAAACTTCCCATATGCGTTAACTAATCCAAAGATTTTACAGTGTTTCAGATATTTCATTAAAAAAATGCAGAAACTAAATATGCAAGGTTATTTTGTAAACAGATAAAGTTAAATTTACTGTAGTTAACCTGTTCTTCCTTCTCTAATTTCCCCAACTGGAAAGGAAGTGTACTGAAGGAAAGCAAAAATTTAACTTTGGTAACATCAGATGATTTATATCATCAATAAAGTGAGGCAGGGTGGAGGGAGAAGAAACCTTAGTGATGGAAGAATTAAAATCTAAATGGATTTAAAAATATATTTTTAGGGATGGGAGCTACGTGTGTCGTGCTTTCTATACAGGAGTTAATATAAGGTCTGTTGTGTTTCATCTGAGTTATAGCTTTGGTTTAGTGTGAAAGACTGTTTTATTACAGAATTATTTTTTTTCTGTTTTAGAATGTTTAAAAAGAAAACAAAAAACCTCATTGTATTGCCCAGTACAAAAACAGATCAGCTCTAGTCAGGAGAAGTGGCAAGCATGTCAAGCTAGCTGTTGAAAGCAATTAGAGATGCTGTTATTTTTTTTCAAGATGCGTTAGTTTATCTAAGCCTGGTTTCACAGAGGGGTGTGTCACTAATTTTGTTGATAGTAACTGATCTAAAAAACATCTGGTAATTTAAGACTGTATGATTATGGTGTTTACTGTCTTGAAATGAGTATATAATATTATTTTTAAAAATAATTAAAAGGTGGTGTGATTCTGAATTTGACTTTCTGTCCACTCATGTTAACTGGTATCCAGGTTAAATATTTCACATAAACACTCTTTAAAAACTGAGACACCTACGGCAAAGGCTAGAAAATTGCACTAGAAAATTGAATGGTGCAATATAGGTGTTAAAGACTCGTTTCACTCAAAGCAAAAGGTGCATTTTCCCTAGAATGACTTACAAAAATAAGTTCAATTACCAATTGTAATCTGTAACTGGAATGATGTCTCCAATGTTAACATTCTAGTGTCAGAAGTTCTGTCTATTCAAGGCGTTGAGTATTTCCCTGTAGTTCAACACAATTTACTGCAGGACAAATATACTCACCTTAAAGTTTGTGACTTAACTCAAACCCATAGTTCTTAGCTAACTAAGAGATACTTGCTCTCTGTGGAGAAGATAGGCTGAAGTTCAGATAGATACCAAGCTCTCAGTTTTCCTGTATTTGCTTCATTTTGACTTTATGTAACTTTTGGCTTTTTTACGCTGGCTTGAAGTTTTCATGTTTTTTTTCTTTCTCTCCCTAGTGTATATTCGGGTCATCAGTCTATTCTAGTCCCTCCTCTGGAACTGGAGAGCAATGTGTCTCTGTGGTTGTCTGCTGTAAGTCAGTATAAAGTGCGCGTCACGTTCTGCTCTTACTCTGTGATGGAGATGTGCACCAAAGGGCTTGGAACACAGACTGATATACTCCGGGTGAGTGGACTTAATTTTTCAACACACTGACATACAAATACATGTCTCCTCCTAAAAGTATTTCATTTTGGCTTGCAGAAGATGGACCATAAGGTTTCTTTGAAAGCCTTTAATTATGACTTGCTTTTTGGGAAATGTTGAGATTGCTGGAAGTTTCAGCTCTCATGTTTCGGGGGGGGAGGGGGGGCGGGGAGGGAAGTCTTATGTTTTCAACTTTACTTATTTGTGCCATCTCTGTGCTGCTGGGTATTTCTGAGATTTTGGGCAAAATATTTAGCAAGCCTATCTTGCTTGATAGGCAGATGAAAAAAACCAAACAAAAAAACCGCACCAAAAAAAAACCCAAAACCCGAAAGCTCCACCAAACCCCAAAAACAAAAAATCTCTCCCCAAAAAAGAACAAAACAAAAAGCCCCCCAAAACCTGGCAAGTCTCACCTGCTTTCAGATCTCTTGACACCAAAAGTATTGAGTTCTAAAATGGATGTAATCTTCCTAACAGTAGCAATTACACACTAATAAATCCATTTATTTTTGAGGGAAATCTCTTTAACTGAAACTTAATGTCCTTGAAGAGGTGCCTCTGTCTCAATAGTAGGAGAGTTCCCACAGCTGTAGTAACTAAGCTGCTCAGGACTTCCACTGGGAATGTCTGGCAGCTTGTGCGCAAGAAAGCGGCTACATTGTGCTTATTCTCAGTATAGACAAAAAACTCTGTCCCTCTGTTCTCCTGGACCTCACTGAAGAGAATCCTGGCCTGTAGCCAGTTGCTACAGGTTCACGTTTATGCTGATGAGAGCTAATAATGTCTCGAACTCTCTGACTGCACCTGAACTGCTCAGCCCGGGGAGCAAGCCGGTCTCTTGTGAGCCCAGCCCTGTGACACAATGACATTTTGTGGTTTTTTCCAGCTCAAAATGATGAGTGGCTGTGTTGCAGCTACACGATGTGAGTAGTTTGCATCTTGTGCATCAAACCCTACCACAAAGCTTCTTGGCACAATTTTAGAGGATTGTCCTGGGTGGATGGAGCCAAACTGAGTGCAGTCCATATCTATATTGTTTAACTAGTTCATGTCAGTTATTCTAGTGTTTTTAAAGTCCATCTGTTCTGCAAATTAAAATGGCTTATTTCTAGAATTATTGACTTTAAACTTAAAATGTTGGTTTTTTCTTCACCCAACCTCTCAGATGAAAGGAGTTAACCTGTCCTGCGTGCGAACATGCATGGTGGTTGCAGAGGAGAGACCAAGGATTACATTAACACAGTCTTTCTCTAAGTTATTCAAAGACCTGGGCCTTTCTGCTCGTGCAGTGAGCACTACATTTGGGTGCAGGGTCAACGTAGCAATTTGCTTACAGGTGAGATTAAACTGCTTATTCCTTATACTTATGGACAGAATCTCTTGGAACTTTACAGGAAATCATGTTCAGCTGTATGTAATTTTTTTCTAATGAACTAGAGCTCCATTGCTTGCTTGTTTCATCACCAAGTTAAATAAGCCTTGAAGATGTGGATTATGATAATTTCACTTTTCTGTGCTAACTGACCAATTGATTTGCCTTTCTAATACAGAGGATCAGTATGAAGAAACTTGTTTCCTTCCTAGTATGCAGGAGCAATATTAAATTAAATACACAGCTTCCTGGTCATAAACATATTAAATATTTCAAGCAGTGCTATTTCAGCTTTTGTGTGATTCAGATTTTGCTGTTTGAAACGTAGCTTATGTATATGTGGAATTAAATGGAAGACAGAGTTCCTCAAATAAGACCCAGGAAAATTGACAAGGTTGGCAGGTTATTTTTACTTTTAAAGATCTCATATGAGTATTATCCGTATGCAAATACATTTGTCTCACCTCATGTGAGAGTTGGGCTTTTTTTCAATTAAAGGTATAAAATTGGAAGCTTTGAAGGGGAGAATATGCCCATAAAGTACAGAGCCCTACTTCACAGACTGGAGATAATGACATGCTGTGGTCCAGACCCACCTTTGACAGTTTAGTATTCAGTTGATGATAATCTTGTATATATAATTTAAATAGATTAAACCTAACTTTTCTTAATGAGATGTTTCTCCTCTAGTTAGGAGAGGAAAAAAAAAGTATTCCACAACTTACCTGAAAATCAGGTACTAAGTATGGTCTAGAAATTGGCAAAGCACCCTGGGTTTTGGATGATACTAGAGTTAATAGATGAACTGCTCAAGTTTCAGATGTGGCAATATGTAGCTTTGTATGTGGGGAATTTCATAGATGGCACATGCATTAAGTATGTGTGTAATTGTAAATTTTATTTCCAATTTTATTGGTATGAATTACACTTAATAAAAAATATGATTCTATGAAGATTCCTACTGTGCTTTTGCAAAACTTTTTTTTCTCTTTTTTCTTTTTCTTCCTGGTGCCCACTAGGTGAAGGAAAGCCTTTTTTCCTCTCAGAATATATTTTAATGTTCTAGATTTCCTACGAGAGATGTTTTGGGCCATAAGCTTCTTAAATGTTGCCATTCATAATTGTTTCTTTAGTTTCTATAGTTTCTTTCACACATACTAAAGGAGAAAAGATTTTTCACAACCCCTAGATAAATGGTTATAAAGAAATGCGGCCAGAGCAATTTTATGAATCAGTAGAATGAAAAATAGGCTGAAACCAGCACAGAAGGATATAGATGAAATTAAGATGACTGTACAGAAAGATTTTAAATTCTTTGAATAAAACATTTCAGATTCATATTCAGATGAATAAAACATTTTCAGTGTGAAAGAACAGCTTTCTGAATTGCGTGTCTAAATAAGAATTTTAAAAGCCAGCTTTGGATATTTGCTGTTCAGACTGTACAAAGGGGGAAAAAACAGGTTTTCTACAGAATGTTAAATGGCAATGTGAAAAGTACTCCAAGAAAACTGTGAAGAACGTAGGGCTGCTGGGCAGTTAAGCTTCCCCTTCATTTTATACCTTTCTCATGTCTGTTCTCCATTCTTGAGCCCTTCTTTAGTGGTTTTTTTAACCCCTTTCCCCCATTCTTCCAAAGTTATATCTGTATTTTACTTTTCTAAATCATTGAATTTAAATTAATATAGATTAATATCCAAACTGAATGGGTATTTGATACAAGTTACCATGCAAATAAATACATAACATCTTCCAACCTTACTGGACTGGTTTACTGAGAAGGTGTTCCTGAAGCTGCAGCAGCCTTTAGATACTTACAGATGGAGAAGGGATTACATATGATCTGCCTTGAACCTCTTCTTGTTTATTAACTGGGACTTGCATGTTTCCCAATGAACCGCTTAAAACTGCCAAGCTCTTAAATAATCTGAAATGGAAATTTTCTTTTCACTCTAAAACAGTATGAGTTTTGTTTTCTGTCTTACTGTGTGTATCTTATGTTTCCAGTGCCTCTTTGTTTGTATTTTCTTTTTTCCCCTTTCTCTCTGTTTCACACACTTTGATGGCCTCTGTTACTTCTGTTTGTGGTCCCGCTGTCAGCCAAACAGGCTGGGCAAGCTGGCTGAACAGGTATAGTGATGCATGTGTGCTTGTAATGTCTTTGTACAGTCAGTCTGTTTCAGCAGTATTACTCTATAATGAATGTATGCCATTTGAGAGAGTTTTCATTTGAAACAGATCAAGCAAGTTTTTTTTTTTTCTGAAGAAGTTCAGTTTTACTCACACAGAACACTTGTAGCTGAAGTACAAAACCTCTTCCTCAAACAAGTAGAAAGGGGGTATAGCAATGATTAAAATTACTGAATGATATATTCCTAAAGATAAAGATCATACCGCTAATCGGTGTGGCCGTCAGTCATTGAGCCTCAGCAGTGCTACAAAAGTACAAGGGAATGTCATTATAAAGACATTATTACTGTTCTCCAGCACTGCAATCTTGAGCTGATGGCCAAGTGGCCTCATTTTAAGTCTTTCTAAAATGAGAAACTGTGCTATGGGGAGGAAACGTTGCCTATTTTTTTAGCTTAAATATGCATTTCACAGTAGTTTCTCTTCATCTTGAGATTAAATTCTTCTCGGGGTGGGGAGGGGGGGAAGGTCCCCTGTTCCCATGTTGGGAAATGGGAAACCTCTCACCAGAGTTGGTCAGAAGGTTTATCCTCTTGACTGTAACAGAGCTCTGCCTCTGCCTAGGCTATTACTGGCAGGAGCCTTGAGAAGATACAGGTTGGTTAGAGTTATTTTAGTTAAATGTTGGGTGTTTTGTTTTTTTTTCTTCAAAGTTGACAAAACCGTTATAAAGTAGAATAGTTGAGCTTTGGGAAAGGAATTAGGCCCACATAGGTTTATGCTTACATGGTTTGCACTTGGTATGTAGTTTTTAGAGGAGGTGCTTACCAAAATGAAATTTTAAAAACTTAAGTTTTAAATTTAAAATTTTAAAAACTTAAAGACTTTATCTGTATAAATACATACTTCACTTATGCATTCATTTACTGATTCCATAAAACATCAAAGCTTTATGGCACTCACTCTAGAAAGGGGGGCTATTTTACTATATTTCTCGTAGATTAGGGCAGTACTTTGTAAGCATCAGTAAAAAAAGGAGAGGAATTTGTGAATTTATGTGGCTTTGAGAATGAAAGCAGGATTTTCTGGCTTCTGTTGCATTTGTTTCTTCCTTCTTATTCTTAGGGAACAGCAGGACCAGATCCAACAACAGTCTACGTAGATATGAGAGCACTTCGACATGACAGGTACAGATTATGTTAAAGCATTAACTATTTAATGACTGTAGAGGAGAAAGTTCAGCCTCATTGCATTGCATTGGTATGTTGAAATATTCTTGGCAGCAGCTAATCCCTCATCACCATACACAAGGAACCGCACCTTAGAGAATCCTTTAATGATGTCTGTGTGCTGGAAGTAGTCAGGCATCTCTTCCCCCATCACTTGTTCTGCTGTTCCTTTCTAGACCCTAATCTAACTTGCTGTCTGTTCATCAGTCTTGTATAATCTAGACTCATTAGCTGTTTCTTACCTAACCAGACAGTTAGCAAAAGATGACTTTGCCAACTGGCTAGTTAGTCACAGAATCACAGAAACAGTTACGCTGGGCAGGATCTCGGGATGTCCCTCATGCAACCTCCTGCTCAAAGCAGAACCAGCTTCAAGGCTTCATCAGGTTACTGAGGGCCAGGACCAGTTTAGTATGGAAAATCTCCAAGCATGGAGATCCTCCTCCTCTCTGGCTGTATGTGCTGAGACTGACACCCCACTCTGGGGCAGTTTTCCTTACTGGCGTTTCCCATCTTGCATATTATATCCCTGGCCTCTTCTCCTTCCGGTGTGCAGCTCTAAGAAATCTGGCTCCATCTTCTCTATAACAATCCTTTAGGTAGTGGAAAAAGTGCAGTTAGAGTCCCCCTTAGTCTTTTTTTTTTTTCTCCAGAAAAAATCAACTCAATTCCCTCAGCCTTCCCAGATCCAATAAATTGATGTCAGGCCTGTACTACAGCATATCAAAACACACACACACGCACGTATGTACACGTGTCATCTGGAAACTTGCCAAGGATACATCATTCTATCAGACTTAATTCTGTAGTCATAATTTTCATGTTAACTTATCGCGGTTAACTTAGTTAATGCAAGTGCTGGCAGCACCAAGTTCAGACTATAATTTTAGTAGGGTACATACATATATCTATTTGTTTCTGTACTTATTTTAAGAAACGTAATATCAAGGCTTGGTGCATTTGCTTTAGGTTTTTTTAATTGATAACATTAAATTAGGGGCTTATGTTAACTGGCAGCTTTTGTGACTACTCGTCTCTAATTTTTGCAAGCTTAAATCTTAGCTGTTAGAAGACAAGCTATTCATCATTTGCATGATCCCGATTTGGCATCTGAACAGATCAATGCAAATTACAGTCATTTTCTCTTTATTTACTGTATCACTATGACTTGCATGGTATATATTCCTGTTAAAAACAAGTTCAGCCATAGCCTCAAAGCTGCTGCTGTGTCAGTTCTAGCCTATGGGTGTAGGGATAGTGTAATATAACATAAAGTAGAGGAGCCTCTTCTCTTGTACACCTTTCCTACTACACTCAATTCTTGTTCCTTCTGCAAATGTGCTACCTTTATAAGATATGCTACTAATGGGCTGCATAGTGTCACTTAATTCTATTTACGCTGCTTGCTCTTTGCTTTTTGTAATTCCTACTGATGCTCTGCCATGGTTCAGTGTGGCAAGCAGAGGTCCAGGAGAGTACAACAAAGAAGGTGAATGTAAAATGCTGGTGGAACTTCAACCTTAGAGCTCTGTTGGAAAAAGTTACTCATCTCTCCAGAGAGCTGAGTTTCTGATTCTTAAAAGAAACGTGGTCTATGGGAATGCTAATATGGAAGTCTTGAAGAAACTCTTAACTGTCTTACTGCATTATGAATAACTGAGCATAGTTGACTGGCATCATAACAGTTTGGTCAGTGCAGCTAAGGATAGGATAACACTGGATATACTGGAATACATCTGTTTAACTTCTATTTAAGTTCATACATTCTCTTATTTTCTCAGGGTGCGTTTGGTAGAGAGAGGTTCTCCACACAGCCTGCCGCTTATGGAGTCTGGGAAGGTGAGAGATTGAGAGCAATCCTTCCTCCTCATGACCTTTACCCAGGTGGTGACCTGCTTCAGCTGGATCTCAGTACAGAATCTGTGCAATGAGCTTCACTAATCACAGTATATCTAGGAGAGGCACTAGAGAGAGCATAAAATGAACAGCTAGTTAAAATGAAGCCAGGTGTGTGAAGTGATACAATAGGATATGTTGCTACAACTGAAAAAATCAGAGGCCTTCACGTAGAAGGCATTTTTCAGGTGTGAAACAAACTTCAACTCTGAAGCTGCAAAACAGCTGCTTAGAGTTTAAATGATTAAACAACATGGTAGGAAGAGATGGTTGATATATCTGTGGTGCAGAGAGGAGTAGAAAGGGAAGCATTGCAGAGACTGTTGACTTCTGTGGCTGTGCATTATTAACTTTTCTTTTGATGAATTCAAGTTCTCTTAACTTGTATTTTAAACATTTGCTTCTTATTTAAGATTCTTCCAGGGGTAAAGGTCATCATAGCGCACACAGAAACCAAGGGACCTCTGGGAGACTCACATTTAGGAGAGGTAAAGCTTTGATGCTGTTGTACTTTGTTTATCAGCAGTGATTTTAATATATAGATAAATCATGTTAGATAAATGCCTGTCTCTTACTGGGATGGCCACATAATGTGGCAAGTGAATGAACTCTACAGAGAGCTGGAACTCTTTACATACTTGTATGTATGTCTGCATGGTTTCCTCCCTCCCCTGCCAAACTACTGCATGCCAGTACCAGGTGATATCAGTTGACTAGTCTGTCTGATTGGCAGCTATAAGAGGTAGTGAATATCTTATGTACTCCCATCAGTGGACAGTAGTAATGAGGTAATTTACTATTTAATCTTTGTTTTATATATATCGGGATTTGTGTATACTAAGATGCCCAACTAATAGAAGATTGCAGGTTAACAGGTGTTCCTTTCCAGTAAGCCAATGCCTAGTTCATTCTTTCTCTTTACCATCCCCAACTACATGTATATAAAACTCCTTTATAGTCCTTTTTCCTGATCATTTTCTGTGAGGCAGAAGGTAATGCATTATTTTCATAAAACTACTCCTGGCATTTTAGGAGCAAAAAAAATTATCGGTGGAACAGATCTTTTAAATCAATAAATGATGCTGCCTGGGTCTGGCAAAATAACCTATGTTTATATGGGAATGACTCCCTTTTGTTTGTTTGTTTGTTTTAATTCCCTAGATATGGGTGAGTAGTCCGCACAATGCTACTGGTTACTACACAGTGTATGGAGAAGAAGCACTGCACGCTGATCACTTTACTGCTCGCTTGAGTTTTGGAGACACTCAGACCGTATGGGCTCGGACTGGGTACCTTGGCTTTCTGCGCAGAACAGAACTTACTGATGCTAGTGGAGGTGAGAGAAAACAAATGTACTTACAGAAGCATGTGTTTGAAACTCCTTGGTGTAGTTGAGCTAGCAAAGAGTAAGCTGTCCTGCAAGTTCATCCTGATTTCCATCAGAGAAAAGTGCTGAATGTAACAGGAATTGTTACTCTGTACATATTCATTGATTATAATGATACTGGGTAATCGTGCAAAATGAGAAATTCATAATGCCCTTTTGACAGATTTAGAAATTATGTTCATCTTCCTTTATTTTCACTTACACAAAATAACATGAGCACATTTGTTAGAAGCACTAGAGCCTTTCTACTCACTTTTCCTCTGAACCTCTTTCTTTACAGAGAGGATGCAGTATTTCAGTGCTGATGTAGAGAATACGAATAATGTTGTCATTCAGCAATTTTAGGACATGTGCAAATACCAGTGATTTCCCAGCCTTTCAGAAGTTAAAGGTCTAGAGGAGTAACTTCTCCATAATTTTTCCAGTATAGAAAATAAATCGTTAATCTCGTTTTCTCAATCTAAGCTGTCTAAACTTGAGAAATGTAAGCAGATGGAAGAAAAACTGCTCCTTTTCCTGTTGACACAGAATATGGAGTAGGTGTAACTCTTGATTATCACACATTTAAAAAAAAAAAGTAATCTCTAAACAGCCTAAGAAAAGGAGTTTGAATGCTTATAATTTATTAGCAAATGTATATTGCTAATTGTCTGTGATTGGAGTTCAATGAATGGTGGTATCTACATGGACAGTGTCAGCGTCCCCTCATTGCAGCCATTGGATAATGAACTGTAGGGGGTTCACAGACACCTTCTACGTTTCCTGTAATCACTCGTGGTACAAGATAGAAAAGCAGTCTTCCCACTTCTGGAACATAAATGTCAGTTTGGGGGATACCATGCATGTCCATTCTACTTCAGTCCTCCATTATGTGAAGGAAGAAAAGCGAGCAAGGAGAGCAATTTGTTGAAGGTGCAGACTTTTGTTGAGGAGCAACCCCATCTGTTGCAGTGGATACCAGTCCATGGTTCAGAAATGGTCCTTGATGTAACTCTGTTGGATCTAGTCGCTGAGAGGGTCATCCTCCAGTCTACTGTGCTGGTGTTCTATTCAGTCTCCCTGGGGCTCTTGAGAACAAGAAAGGTAGATGCTATTGCTCCAGTTGGAGAAATCCCTGCAGCCCACTCAATTCCATCTCCTCCAGAGCAGCATTGTGTAGGCTTCCCTCTTCCACAGTCAGAGTGCCATCAGAGAGCAAAAGGTAAATGCTGGTAAAGAAACAGTCTTCATCAGAGATGTGTGGCATCCTTAGCCCACAGCTACCACTATTACACAGAAGGGTCCCTTCTTGGCAACAGGCCTCTCACCCGTTCAGCCTACTTCGTACACTGAGCTAAGTCTCAGTGTTCTGAGACTCTGTTCCTGAATGAATGTGGTCTCAGGCTATTGGTGCGACCTGATGTAATGTAGATCCAGCTCCCTGAAAAACCTTTTGCTGCATGTCGTCTTCCCCTTCAGAGCTGGTAGAGCATGATAAAGGAACACTCAACCAAGGTGCTCTAAGCTTTCCTTGCTTTCCTCCTCTCTGATTTTCTAGGGTAGTTACCTGACCTCCAGAGCACATTTTACTGGTGCTACTGTACTACACGGTTCTGCATTGGATGCTTTGATGGAATTGTCTGTCTGTCACTGTTCAAAGTGAAATGGCTCCCTGTTCTTGAGAAAGCTGGTAGTTGACAGAAATTGGAATCTGTGAATTTGTGAATTTGAATTCACAAAGAAAGAGAAGTTGCAGGTGGCAAGGCACCAGATTACTATAGCAAGTTTTTGTGCCTTGTAGTTTTCTGAAAAATCATGTATCGTAGAAGTTTTTATCACTGTGGAGCAATGTCAGTTGTCCTTCAGGTTGTCAGCATTTGAGAGGCTATGTGTGGTGAATAAACGTAGCAAGTATGCGTGAAATACAGTGCAGCTTCCCAACATGCTTTTTGTCTCAAGTTACATGATTGAGCAGAATTATAAAATGGGTGCAAAAAAAAGTGAAGTTGAACTGAACAGAGTTACAGGATGAACGTGGCAATGTGAAGAGCATGTCCTTCAAGAAGGGTCTAGGAGAGCTTTGCTTATTTAACCTAGCAAAGCTAAGGCTGAGGAGGGGATAAAGTTGTTCCTGCTGCATTAACTGTGGGGAACTTAAGGAGCTGAGAAGAATATTGGTGGCATGAGGACAAGTGGGTATAAGCTGGTTTTAAAAACAAAAAAAAGTTAAATTTGAAAATTGGAAAAGTGTTCCTATTGATCAGAGAAGTTCTCTGGTAAGAATAGTGGGACAAATAGATGCTTTAACAATGGATTTCGATTGGGTTTATGAACTGAGATTACATTACGTGAGAGAAGGGGCAGAATTGGATGACCCAGAAATTCTTTTTAGTCTTGTTTCATTTGGAGTCAATAGGCGGAAGTGCTAAATGACCTCTTAATTCTCTTCTACTCATATGGTAGAGCTTGATGTGTATTATAGAATCCTTGTCCTAGGAAACACCAGGAACATCTTAGAACGTCAGGAATAAGCTCATACAAATGACCATGTTTGTTCTGTAGATCTGATGGTGTTTTAAATGTTTGTGTTATATTGCAGAGAGGCATGATGCCCTATATGTGGTAGGCTCTTTGGATGAAACACTGGAGCTCAGAGGAATGAGGTACCATCCCATTGATATAGAGACCTCTGTAATAAGAGCACATAAGAGCATCGCAGAATGGTAAGAGCCTCAGTATTACTTTTCTGTATCCTTTTATTTCTTCTAAAGCAGCAGAAGTCAAGCTTTGTGGAACAGCATGCTAGACTGAGAGCTTGCTGTAGAGGGAACTCACGAAAACTTTGCGAGTAACTGAAATATAATGCCCCTCTTTCCCCTGCCTCCGCTGCTCAAAAAAAAAAGCAGCCCACTCCTTTATCAAAGTTTGATCTTCATAGTCTGAAAGACGGGGAGGGCAGGGCATGAACAGAGCAGCAGAGCACTTGCAAGTTGTGTTGTTGACTTCCCTAGCTGTGTCAGAATGTACGCAGTTGGATGTGGTAAACACATCTCAAGGATTTCTTGAATGGTATCTTCTAACATATATTATTCTCATTTGGTCCTAATGGATGATGTATGCCATTTGGCTATAGGCCCTCTTCAGTCGCAAAGTGGTAGTGTTTACTTGTAATCTTTGGGAGGGTTTGTCTTTCCTTTAATAATTTCTGAAGATTTACACAAGTACATTAATATCAAGTATGCACACTGTATGTGAAATCTTAATGGTTCCCATTTCAATACATAAGTGCAAAGGACTCTTAAATACATGATTGTGTACATGTAAGAGAAAAAGAACCTACCTATATTTTGTACATGGACAATTAAAAAATAAGTGGCAGAGAATATCCCAAGAAGTTACAGCTTTAATACCTCTTGATTTACGAATATTTTCACTTTACTATTCTATAACTTGTTCTCATTTATTATATTGTTCAACTACTTACGAAATTTATTTCCAGTGAGTCTGTCTTTGATTACTAGCTTCCTTTGACTATGTATTTTTTTTCTCACCATTAATATTTGTATCATGCCGACAGCGCTGTGTTTACATGGACCAACTTGCTGGTGGTGGTTGTGGAATTAGAAGGCTCAGAACAAGAAGCATTGGACCTAGTCGCGCTGGTAACAAATGTGGTTCTGGAAGAGCATTATCTCATAGTAGGTGTTGTAGTCATTGTGGACCCCGGTGTTATTCCTATCAATTCCCGTGGTGAGAAACAACGAATGCACCTGAGAGACGGATTTTTAGCTGACCAGTTGGATCCCATTTATGTTGCCTACAACATGTGAAAACAGAAAATCACATCAAGGCTAAAGCACCAAAATCAAGGGACTTTCCGAATAATAACATCGGAATCCATTTTGTGTTTTTAAAAGCTGTTGAAGATCTTAGGAAAATGGAGATACTAATCTTCACAGACTGCATCTCTCAGATTGCATTTGCTTTCATAAATCCATTGTAACAGTTACAGCTGTCTTAGGATGGAGAGTTTACTGGAACTCCTGAAGGAAACTTACTAGAATATCATGGACCAATGTTTTTTTACAATAATTATGAATGTCAGTACTTGATGCACTGCATAAAAGGACATAAAGCGGGGTGGGGAGAGAACACCAGCTGTGAGGAGGACTCTTGGAAATAATACTGAAAATCGTGAGTAACCGTTCGGAGTTCATCCTCCATGTGATTGTTTGCAATTATTGGCAGTATCTGGGTTAGGACGTAACTTTCAAGATTGCACACATCTCTACCATATGCTCTACTGTACTGAAAGGAATTTTGCACATATTTGAGATTTTAAAATGCAACCTTTTTATTTTAAATCACTGACTCATCCCTATTCAGAAGAAACAAATTCATTCCAATCCCAGATTCACTGTAACAACAATTATGCTGCTGTTCAGCTTTTTTGTACCAAGCAAAAACAAATACTGCAACAAGGTTACTTATTGTGCCATGCTAGACTCTGTAATGCTATAAGCTTTATAATAAAATATAAATTAATACCCAGTTTTAATTACTTGATGCAGGAGCCTCCACTGCTTTTGCTGTTGTAACATCATGTTGAAGTTGCTTGTTTTCATAGCATTAGCTGTTAATTACTGCCCTGCATAACATCAAGTATTTGAAAATTCATTCCAAAGCCAATAGTCTCTGAATGATTCATAGAAGTGTTTACAAAGCATGGTCTTACAATATGTTTTCCCTGAATATCCTGTGCTAAAACTTAGGATAGTGATTTTTTTTTTTTTTCCACCATGGAAAAGATATTCAGTGTTAGTTAGCTTGATCTGCTGTGGTACAAACTTTCTTTTTTTTTTTTTTAGAGTTGTATTTAGACAGACTTTTTTATTCAAGCTGAAATATCCAGTTTGTTGAGTCACACTTGACTAATTAAGGTTTTGAAGTTTCTGCCTGATCTAATACTGCAGTGAACCTAATTCAGAAAGAGAATGTGAAATTATTCAAATACTTCATGTATTTGAAGGTAAGCACGAGACTAGCAAATAATTATTTTTATAGAGTTGTTAAAGACTTTGAGCTACATAATTTTTTTTTTAATAATGCATGAGTTTGTCAAAAGAGCCAGGTTTTTCTGCAAGGCAATTCTGCCTGGATCAGTGCCTAAGACAGATGGATGTCAGTCTCCTGATATGAGGATATCAAATTGACTCTTGGTCAATTAAACTATAAAATCTTCAACAAAAAGCTTTCATATATAGTAATTCTTTGCCCTTTGGTGTTTTACTGTGGTGTATTATACAGCTGCATACTCTACTATGACTGTAATTATGTACAGAACTTGTGTAACTTATTGTTTAAGTACAGCAACCTCTAGCAGTGGACTATGGGACACTCCTCGTAACAGAACAGCTGGCAAAAGGAAACAACTACCTAACCCCAATTTTAATGTTGTAGTTTTTTAGCAAATAAAGCATTGTAAGATTTTTGTATTGAGATATTGATGACAGTGAGACAAGTTGCCTTGTAAAGCAAGTCTAAAACAAAAAGCACATTAAACATTTCAAAACAGCTCTTGAAAATCTGACTTGCTGAATGTTGGAACTTAACTAGCTTATGTACAGTACAGTTTTCACCTGTGTTTTGGACAGTTTAATGCCTAAAGAACTTTTTCTGCAAAATTTCATTACAGTTGCTTTACAATTAAAGCAACTGCACATCCTCAAAGCCTGGATATTCCTGAACTTTATGCTTTCAGTACCCAAATTGAAATGCTCTCTGGTGTCTGGCTTACCTCCCTGCCCTGACCCCAGTGTGGGTCCTCCCCACCCACAACTAGCACCTGCCACACACCAAGTTTTCTAAATTTGGGTGTGAGAAGTGCAGCTGGGGGGGATTAACATCCCTCCCCTCAGCATGGTGCTGCTTATTTCACACAGCAAAGCCAGTGGTGAGTCTTGACATAAAGCCCTGCTGGGTCGGGGGGGGCGGGGG